GGAAGCAGAGGAGTATGATTACGAATAAGTGTGGAAAGAATATCAATAAATTTAGTGAATTTTTCGGAAGGAGAAGGCAAAGTACTAAATGAGAGGTCCCAGTCGATGGTGGCGAGATCGGAGTTGAGGGCGCGCAAATTGCATTTCTTGAACCATAAACGAGGGCGAGATATGGATGGGGATAGAGGAGTGAGAGTGGTAGGAAGAATGTGGAACTTGACGGCAAAGTGGTCAGAGTTAAGCAGAGGAGGCTCGACGGCGACGTTAGAAAGAGGAAGATCATCAGAGGAGATTACAAGGTCCAGGATGTTAGCTGAGGTATCGGAGACCCGAGTTGGGAAAGAGACATGTTGGTGAAGACCTCTAGAAGTGAGAAAAGAGACAAACTGATGATTATGGTTAGGGGGATTCCAGGATAAACTGGGGAAATTAAAATCACCAACAAGAATGGTGGAATCAAGAGGGAGGAAGTTATCTAGATGAGCAATGAGGGAGGAAGTTTGGGAAGTAGAGGAGTCAGGTGGCCTATAAACTAGGGCAATAGTGAAGGGAGAGAAGGAAGGAACATTAGAGGGATACGATGAGGACGGGGACACAGAGCAAGCTAGTATTTCAGAAAGATGAAGAGGATAATGACGGTCCATATTAAGAGGAAGAGTCGAGAGTGAAATGGTCGGTTTAAATAGGAAAGCAACCCCACCTCCTCTTTTTTTGTGATGAACAAGAGGGTCTCTGTCGAAACGGAGAATCTCTAGTCCACGTTGATGGAATAGAGAAGAGGAGATGGAGTCGTCGAGGAAAGTTTCGGACAAGGCGAGGAGATGTTGAGAAGAGGAGGCAAAAAATATCAATAAGGAGATGAATTTTGGAGATAGTGGCTACGCCTCTAACGTTAGCAAGTAAAACCTTAATGCACATGTCATCATAGTTCGAGAGAGTCAACGGGGGAGAGGGATTGAGTGGAGACGAGAGAGGTGCAGATGGAATGGAAGGATCAATAGAAATTCTGGACTGTTGGGTGGGACGGGAAGAGGAAGCTGTGATAACGAGGGGGTTGGAATGAGGGAAAGAAACAGTGCAGGCACTTACACAAAAGGACGTGGCTTATCATTGAGCTTGTAGTGGATATCTTGCATGATGTATTTGGTGGTCTTCGCCTTCAGGTTCTCATCGTATACGAACTTTCTGGATGCACGAAGGGTTTCGAGTTCAGATCGGGTCAGGTCACGGCGGGCTCGGAGTTTGGGCTCGATGGTGTTCAGGAGTGGCTCATCGTTCTTGATCTTATTGAATCCTTTGAGGAAGGTGTCACGTTCGGATTTGGATGAGAACTGCAATTTGAGAGGACGGAAACGGGAAGAGCAAACATGACGATACACCTGTGATGGGATTGGAAGCGAGTGCTTGTTAGCGATGGCGGCAATGAGTTCAGAGTCTTTTCGGTCTTGATTTGGGGATTTATCATCAGGGGCACGTTCGATCACAGCTCTAGTAGACTTTTCCAGGAGTTGATAGGCCTGCTTAGCGATTTCAGTAGGGTCGACTGGAGTTGAAGTGCGCTCAGCAGAGGTAGTCATGGAAGATAGGACAGCATTGGCGAACGATTTGGTAGAGGAAGAGGGAGCGGGGGTAGAGACGGCATCGACAAATACTTCAGCAGGAGCTGAGACAGGAGGTCCAAGTTGGGGCGGGTCGGGAGCGGTCTGGCAAGTATTCGCAATTGTCTTACCAAGTTTGGTGGATCCTTCTTCAATTAGTCCATCTCGGATTTGCTGGATAATGTCGGTTAGGACAATTACGTGCTTGTGCAATGCAAGATAATCTTCATATGCCACAAATTGAGGAGGCTCGGAATCCAGGCTCGAATGAAATTTCCTCTTGGCCGGAGGCGCCATGGCAGACATGGCGATAATTGTTAGCGAATGATAATTGTTAGCGAATGATAATTGTTAGCGAATGATAATTGTTAGCGAATGATTCAAAATCTTAGATATGGCAGATTAAAAAAAATTGACTTATTACAGTATATTTTAAAAGTGAATCTTCATGAGATTATACTACATTCATTTCAGATAACGCTCGTTTTTGAAAATCGTAGAAACCGATCTATGGACGTCATTCTCTTCCTAATCACTCGGGTCTATTTTTTCGAGATCTGGCTCTATTCTTGAAATGGCATAACTTCTGACTTAACTGTAAACATAATTATTTCAGATATTGCAGAAATGCCGTCGAACTTTGACTTCACAATAAAACGTTTAAATCCAGCGATTTTTTCTTCTAAAAATCCATTTCACCTGCAGAATTTTATTTTTAGAACATGTACAAATGAGTATGCGTATCTTTCTTGATATCATCAAGTTCAGTTGCCTACGCAATTTTCAGGAACATTTTCTGTTTCAATTTGACTTTCATATGCAAACACTTTTTCCATACTTGTAACTGGCCGGGCCGGGCCGGGTCGAAATGAAAAATTCTCCGGCCCAGCCCGGCCCGGCGGGTCGACCCGGCCCGGGTCAGGTTCTGAAATGTCAAAAATCTGAAATTTTGGAATTTTTTCGAAGTTTTTATTAAATTTTCGGAAAAATATCAAAGTTTCACATTTTTGTAAGGGTGGATTTTCCCAGGAATTTTTTTAAAAAGTAAATTTCAATCATTTTCTCTCAAAAAAATTTTAAAAATCAGGTACCCGGGCCGACCGGGCCGGGCCGGAAGATTTTTTTTTCGACCCGGCCCGGCCCGGCGGGCCGGGTCACCAGGGCCGGGTCACCGGGTCGGCGCGGAATTTGACAAGTATGCTTTTTTCATAATTTCAAAAACATCCCCTTCGTTTTGAAAATTTGTAAATTTCTGTGAAGTTAAATTGGATGTGATGTTCTAAAAAGATCATTTCAGAAAGTGGTATTGCTTTTTGCACACTTCCTGATGTTTGCAAATTGATTTTCGATTTAACATAGCCTGAAAATGTAGACCTATTAACACCTTGAATTTACTGAGAGCTCAAAAATAATGTGTAAATCTATTTTGTTCAACTTTTGTTCAACTTTTGCTTGTGTTATAGTTCATTATTAGTTTCTAGAAAAAGTCAGATATATGTCTAGACTCATTTCAGACCTACAAACCCTGCAAATTGTTTTTCGTATTACTCTTGCCTTGAAATACAGAACTACGTGCATAGCTATTTTCGAGCAATAGCCTATTGTTTTTATTTGCAGAATAATTTTTTATATCATTGCCTCAAAAAGTGGTAGATTTTTCCAGAAGTGTGCAGAACGGAAATCAGATTCTTGAGAAATGTGCATTTTTGGGTGTTTATTGCGTTCATATGCTTTTCAGTCTATATTCACAGTTTTCTAGAAAACTTGAAATTCAAAGCGAACTTATAATTATGTCCAGCAGTGTATTAGTTTTGTCTTGTGTTCTTTCCAAAAAAATTACACCCGGACCGTCAACTTCAAATTAAAATTTTTTTCTGTGGTTGTGGAAGATATTTGGAAATGTTTCACTAATGAATCATTTGTGATGTTATTCTGATATAATTGATTAGTTAATCAACTTCCAATATCTTTTAAAGAACAACAAAAAAGTCTAAAGTTGACCATTGCATCTTCATTAATGTTATTGTGAATTTCAAGTATTCATAATATACCGAGATTTTAAAAGTTTCAAAAAGTTAGGAGTTAGAAATTTTTCAAAATCTGAAGAAGTTTCATGAACAATTTCAATGAAATTCTCAGTTTCTTTTGACATTACGGTTTCATATTAAATATGAACAGTCTCAAACATTCAGGCCAAAAGTGCAATGCTTCTTGTCTGAAAGTCGAATCCCAGATGATTTTTCTACTGACCGTCATATGGTGCTGACGTTTACGCTAGTGTCTGTCTACAAAATCAGATATCAGTCACAGATGTTATAGATCGCCCTAGTTTCCCATGTCCTATCACGAGGACAACATTCTGCTGATATCAACTCTTTTTTGTCATTCTTTCTGGTAACTTTCATTGGCACATGGTAGCGAAGGCGTGAGAATATTGTGTGCGACTCATAGCAACATCTAAAAATCCAAATGCAGCGTGACTGAAAATTTCCCAGAGCTCAAACGAAGAAACTCCCCGCCCACTTTTCACCTGCTCTGTACCCTTCTACAAAAGGTGCCATTTGATTTTTTGTTCCTTCTCCTTTGCCACCGGAGGTAGTTTGTGTCTACCCAATTTTAGTGATCCAATTTTTTGATTTCTGAGTTAACTCCACAAACTTCCTCATTTTCGATGCCGAAACATTTCCGTTAAAATTAAATTTTGGCAATCAATCAAAGCTGTTAACTTTCGAAAATATTGTGCTTTGATAGGCAATCGGTTAAGCTAATTGAATTTTCCAAAAGTCAAGAATTATGTTCACCCCACCCTCGGCAGATTTTATTTACCAAGAACCACAGTAATCCAATATTTCTTTCAAGAATTTGCTTCCCCGCTTTTCTATATTTGGGTTTCTTTTGAGAATAACTCTTGTACCTCTTGTACGGATTTATTTCCAAATTTTCTATTGTTCCTTATGATACATCCTAAACTTTTATATTTTGACGATTTGTCATCTACCATTTTTTAAAATTTCAGATTATGTCTTTGGTCTACTTGAAAGCGTTGATGTGTGTTTGGGGAATGTTCTGGAATCTTCTTATCAATGCTGCTATTCTGAATGATCGAGTGCTACGGAACTCTTCCACTTTCCTGTTGTTGGCGCTCCACTTCTTCGCGTGTACTGTGGATGTGGGCTCGAGATTGGTATTCGATGTTCCTTCTGAGATTCTTAACCGGCCACTCTTCCGGCTGTCAGCCAACTACGGTAGGTACTTAAAATTTCAGAGAAAAGGAAAATTGGAATACTGCAAAACTTGAAAGTTTATAGCAAACTTTAAACTGGGTTCTGTTTTGAAAGAGAATTCTAACTTCCCTAATATGAATGTAGATTTTGTCAAAATCTTCAAACTCCGCTTGTTGGTTTATTGAAAAGAGTTACCGTAGTCTCATACTCAGAAGTATGATTTGAATGTTTGTTTAGTAATGTCTTTTCCCGCGTGGGCTTAACATATTCCCAATATCAAGTTTGTTGTGGGTGGTACCAGCGTGGGAACTTATTATAGACCGCTTATGGGAATTAAGTCTCAAACAAGATCAAAATTTGACAAAGTCTGTTTTCCGTTTTATTGAAAATGAAACGGTCCATGAAAAAAGCCTAAGTTGGGAAATTTGTTGAATTTGGCTGCCACGTAAGATCTTAGACTAGACTAGAACTAGAAAATAACTGAAAATTGAGTCATTCGTGGGAATCTCGTCTGGGCAGAGATCAGAAAGTTACAGAAGGTTTTGCACAGGGGTTCTGATTAGACAGAGAAAAATCAGAATAAAATACACGTGATTATTAATTAAAGGAGGGTAGTTATTCAGAAATTAGGGTATGCATGTTGACGGGATGATTCAAGTTACCACATTGGGTGGCTTTTGTGCCGATTACACAGTTATATGAAATTGGTCGGAGGATCAACTTCCGCCACAGTAGCTCCACTGGTAGCGACCAGGCACCTCCAACGTTAGTCTTACAAGTTTAGAGCCTCGAAAGGCTAATAGCAAAATTTCTGACTATTTTTTCATGGTACCCTTTTACCGTAACATTATCCGAGTTTATGGTTGTTCTTATTTTTAAAAGATCAGTTAACAACACACTACCACTAATAGAAACAAAATTTGTCAGTTGACCACTTCTACAGAAACCAAAAAATTGGAGAAAACAAGAATGTTTTATTTTGCATAATCTCTGACGCTTGGTTCCGTTTATAAACTATAACCTTTGAAAGGGAAAAAGTATATTTTCAGATGATTTTCCAACCAAACTATTCCACTTCACCACCTACTCATGCTGGTTCATCCAACTCTACTCCTTGATTGCCATCGCTGCCTCTCACATTTTGGCCGTCTACGGCACCCTCTACTATGCTCGTTTCACACAGAAAAAAACCATCATTGTTATAATCGCGATTATTTTTCTATCCATGCTCTCCGTATGCTATCTTTGGTCTCCCGAATTCCCAATCATTTTCCATCCGGAATTCTGGGGGTGGTCTGAGACAAGAGGCAAACCATTGGTCAACTTCTTCTTTTATCTTAACTATGTTGTTCAGGTATTTTTACTTATCAGTGATCTCAAAACAAAAAATATTTCATTTCCGGTTGATTTCAGGGTATTGTTTTCTTCTGTCTCGCACTGACTGATATTTTGATTGTTTACAAATTGAGCACTATTAAGGAATCCGTCTTCGCCTCTGAAAAGAGTGCCACCGTGAGTTTCACGAAACTATATCTATACTATCAGAAAAACCATTTCGAACAATTTCGCTTTTCCGGTCCATGTTTTGTCTAAATTCAATTCTCAAAGTTGATAGTATTTGCTAGGTTGCCCCACCACAAATGGAAATGATGCAGGTGTCGGTGGTGAACAGCGGAAATGCAGTATTGGCTCCAAGGCGAACGACTCGAGTGTCCACCGAACTGAAAGTATCCATAAACTTCATCATCGTCTCGCTGTTTCTCCTTATTCAGACACTCATCTACAATATTTGTACACTGTTAGTCAGCAAACGTTTTTTTTCTTTGTGTCCAGCTGTTGTTTCCGTTTTCCTTATCACTATACTAGTATTTTTTTTTCCAGATACGAAGACAACAACCTCTGCCTCTTCCTGCTTTTTATTGCACCCATTTTCCGTGGAAGTAAATGTCTCGCCTACTTGGTTTCCGGAAGTGCACTTCGAAACGCGATCGCAAATTTGGTGTTGTGTCGGAAGAAGTTCTGATTTATAAATCTTTGTACAATTCGCATCTTCTTTTCTGTCTCTCTCACTTTATATTTTTGTATTCTTCTGCTCTGATACAACTACAATTCCACATTTCCCATATTTCCCAATTCTCCCGTTTTCTCTTATCTGCACATTTTACGAAAATCCGTATGCTTTACTAAAATGAAGCTGGAAAAGAAATCTCTTTAGCCGTTGTCACACGGTGTTGTGTCAAGTCCTCATGCTCATCATCCTCTGTTGATGTTTTCTCTCACACCCTCTTGTATCCACTTTTTTCAGTGGCGACGGGACGCCAGGCGCTGTTTCAGAAACCAAAAAACTAGTGTGTACTAAAAGCCGTGAGAATATGATTGCTATATTCTGCATTACAAGTGCGCGTGGTGAAAAGAGGAGACGCTCTGGCTGTGTTGCCTATGTGCTCATGAGAATTTTTCTCTTTTTTTTTTCTTTTTTTTCTCCCTTCTTTTTTTGCCGTCTGGTGTTGCCGTCGTTTCCAAAAATAGAGAGTAACCTGCCAAATCGTATAGTAGAAATCAAAAAGAGATACTTCTTTTATTAATTAGAAACCGCATATTGTTATCAAGGATCTCTTATTTCTTTCAGCTCAGCGCGGAGAGGAGAGCTGTATCATTATCAGCTGAAGACACTTCTAGACTCTCGGTTCCGAGAGCCAACATCGTATAGAAACTCACTGTTTTGTGTTATCACTGGTTTCAAGTTTTACACCGATTAAAAGTGCAACTGGAGGGCGAGGCAATCACCGACTTCTCCTTATCCTTCTTCTTCCTTCTTTTTCTTCTTCTGCCCCACTCGCACCCCACTCACAGAGCCACTATAGTCCGTCGTCCTCGAGCGCGCCTTGTGCCAACCAGAAATGCTGATCGACACTAGTAGTACTTCCGATTCAACGACTATAATTGATGTAAGTACACATGTTTACAGGTATAAGAACTAATTTTGTTTATTTTTACAGTTGGAAAATCGTTACTACTACGTCAATCCGAGACATGTAAATACGGAATTTAATATTGATGGATTCAAATGGTAAGTCCTGTTTTTCATTTTCATCGGTATCAATGTAAGGGGTCTGTAACTACAGTTTTTTTTTGAATTTTTTTTGAATTACGATTTCCAATATTTCTGAGTTTAATCTCTAAGAGTTAGACGTAACAATAATAGTTTTAAGTTTCCCCAAGGTTTTTCCTTCCTTCTCATTTGATTTCTGGTTTCTTCCTTAATGTTTTTTCTGATGTTCCAAAATAAACGAGACCCCTCATCACGAGGAACGCGTTCTGGATTTATTTTAACGCTCTTATAATTTCAGATTCAAAATCCTTTGTTTATCACCAAATCTGTCATAAACATTGCTCCGCATTTCTAATCCGTGTGGTTTCAGGAGGATCATATTTGAAAAACAACAAATCGTCTTCACCCTTTTATCCGAAGTATCTGAATTTACCTCAATTGATCTCATCATCACTTGCACCGATTTCATCTCTAGTTCCACTTTCGTGAGTCACAGAAAATCCTATCAACTCAGACCATTCAGAAAAATCACTTTCCTGATTAATTGACAGAAAACGTACTATGTTGCAGACCTCACAATTCGCGAGAAGTGGAGAGTCAGTTGTTCATCAGTGGCTGCCTGGCGGCCACCACGTGCAGCTAGAAATTGACCAGACCATTCAGTAAGTACACAACAATGCACTTTTTTTGCTCTCTTGTAAAAAATCACAAGCAAAATTTTGTTTGTTTGCAGTGAGAGCCAATTCGATGGCATAGACTTCAGTCGTCCTTTCGAGCAGACCAATGCTGTCCTACAAGTGGAAGATGAAGAGTTTCATGTCCACACATTTGTAAAGAGATTTTTGAAGCACTCGAAAAAACTAATCAACATTTTTCAGCTGCTCAGCATGGTCTCACAATTCTTCCGTGTTCTATTCAACGGTCCATTCTCCGAGTCTTCCGACCTCACGAAACCAATCGAGCTCAAAGGGATCTCGTCTTGTTCATTTAGAAACTTGCTAAATTGCATATACGCTTATCCAACTGGATTTAGAATTACTCGTATGTAAACAAAGGGGACTTGAGAGCAAAAGTGAAAATTTAATTTTGCAGGGGCCAACATCACTGAGCTTTTGGAGCTAAGCCATTACTATGACTGCCAACGGATCACAATGCTCTGCGAAAACAACTTGATGTACGATGTACGCTGCAACGTCCGCTCAAAGCAGAAAATGGAATTAGCCATCCGTTATGATCTTGAATCTCTGAAGGTACCCTTGATAAATAGAAAAATCTTTAAAACTTTGGTTTCAGAATCACCTTCTTCTCCAGGAACCCCGTCTTGTCGATCTTCTTGCTCTCAACTAAATTGATTTACTATAACCTTCAAACTAAAAACAAACAAAAAATTTTGGTGTACTTGCCACGACTTTATTTAGTTCTGTCTAGTTGTTTTGATTCATTCCAGGTTGTGAACTGATTCTCATCCCCCCCCCCCTCAAATATCAATCCCATTCATATTCCTCGAGTGATTTATTGCCAGCGATTCTTTCAAATAATCGAGTATCAAAAATTGCTTTTCAGTGAAAAACAGAATTTTTCAAAAACAATTTTCTCAATTTCTAGGACGTTTCAATGTTCAGAAAATTTCTCAAAAATTTTATTTTTTTAATTTTAGATAATCCAAGTTGTGGAAAATTCGAAGTTTTGAGCGAAATTTGGGCTTTCACGGTGTCGAATTTGTACTTTTATTTTTCTTGTTACATTCAGTTTTTAACAAGTCATACATTTTCTCTTCTTTCCTTGAGAAACATACATATTTGATAACAATTGTTTACTATATACAAACCAGCAGGGCAAAATTAATCACATCACGTTTTTTTTCCTTTCTTAGCATTTTTTTCTAAACCATTTTTTTCTCTACAGGTAATAAACAATAATTTTCTATGAAAAGTAGCACTTCATCATTCCTAAAAGTAGCACTTCATCATTCGGATCATTTCTAACGTGTTTTCCTGTATTTTTCAATGACCAAAAATTATAGTGTCCTTCTCCTATATTCTTGTTTATCATGATCAGAGTACAATTGTTCTCCAATCACAGTTATAGCCTGATAAGTGAACAGAGTATTCATCCAGTTAGTTCGTGAGGAAAAATACTCGTCCTATTTGTCAGTGGTCGAGTTTTGTTTATGTGTGTTCCACAACACCACGTGACGCCGCTTCGCGCAGCACAAAAATTCGTCTCTTTTTTTGCATGCGCTCCGTTTGAAAGCTGCTATTTTTCTTCTTTTTTTTACTTCAGTTGTTTCATTTTATTCTCAGTAATCCGTTACCAAAAATGTTTGTATCATTGCTCGATACAAAAAAGAACGTCATTGCTGATGACCTTGGCGATATCTCTTGTGTGCCTTCCCTGGTAAACAACAATTATCGTCCTCCACACGTTTGGTCTTACCCAATACTTCCAAATATTTTCTCTGTTTCAGAATGGTCATTCTGCGCTCAAAGGTCACAAGACTCTATCGGCTGTTTTCGAGTGGAACCAAAAAAATCGAGTATTCAAAATTAAAAGTTGCAGTGCCCAAAGAGATTTTTCCGGGTAAAAAAGCAATTTCTTGTGTACTAATGAAAACGAAAAAAAAGTTTCCAGGAGAAAAGCGTGTTTCTTTGAGTCCAACTGGCGTGGCCCTTCTTCAGAAAAATGGGATTTCTGTTTTGGTGAGCGAATTTTATATGAGGGAGGGAAAATGACAACATTTTTGGTTTCTAGGTTGAAGAGGATGCAGGGACATGGGCTGGGTACTCGAATGCAGACTATGCTAAAAATGGAGCAACTGTGACAAGTGTGGATGATGTTTTCAATGCAGATGTTCTATTGAAAGTGAGTGATGGATATCGAATATGGGGATTGTGAGAGAAGAAAGCGAAATATGTATTTTTACCATAAAACCGTCAGACATATTTTCTGGAAAACAGTTTTGAGAAAAATTGTAGTCGGGAAAGTTGGCTGAAATTTTTTTTCAAGTTCGGGATTTCCCATATTTAAAAAAACCTGAAGCCATATTCATGAACATTGTCTTGGAAAATGGTTTTCTTTTCGAAAAATCCGTTTTTTTCCATAGAATATACTAATTTCATTTCATTTTTAAACTCCATTTTATAAACTTTTCAATTCTAAAAAAGATAGAATAATATATTCAGTAAATTACTATATAATTCAAAACCCAAAATGTCTTGCTCTTCAACTCAAAAACTTTTTTTCTGAATTCAAATAGCGTTAATGAATATAGTTAGAAATTTGGAGTACTGTGAACAAGCATAAAACATTTTCCATTCCATACTTCCTGAGAAAATTCAGTTAAAAATTATTCTCCGATCCTATTGGAAAATCATTCAAATAATCTTCTGTAAATTTTTATGCTCCCATATTCCTCTCGAAAAATAGTTTCATTGATTTTTGAAAGAAAATGTTCATAAACACTCTGGTGGGTATATTTTCTAAATGAATTTTTTCTAGATTCGTCCACCAACTGAGTTAGAAGTTTCGAAACTGAAATCTGGAAGCACCCTTATCTCTTTCATCCATCCTGGACAAAACAAAAAACTTCTCGATGCACTCACGAAAACCGACAAAACCGTTTTCGCGATGGACTGTGTTCCAAGAATCAGTCGTGCCCAAGTTTTTGACGCCTTGTCCTCCATGGCCAACATTGCCGGATATCGTGCAGTAATTGAAGCAGCCAACCATTTTGGAAGATTTTTCACCGGCCAAATTACGGCTGCTGGAAAAGTGCCACCGGCAAAAGTGTTGGTTATCGGTGGAGGTGTTGCTGGATTAAGTGCGATTGGAACTGCGAGAGGAATGGGGGCAGTGGTCCGAGGTTTCGATACAAGAGCTGCTGTTAAAGAGCATGTCGAGTCTCTTGGGGCTCAATTCTTGACAGTGAATATCAAAGAAGATGGAGAAGGAGGTGGTGGTTATGCAAAAGAAATGAGCAAGGAATTCATCGAAGCAGAAATGAAACTTTTCGCTGAGCAATGCAAAGATGTGGATATTATCATTACGACTGCTTTGATTCCAGGGAAACGGGCACCGGTTTTGATTACAGAGGTATTTATAGTGGATGGGAAGAAGAACTAAAACCTAAATTGATTTCAGGAAATGATAAAATCCATGAAGCCTGGAAGCGTGGTGGTAGACTTGGCAGCAGAATCTGGTGGTAACATAGAGACAACTCGTCCTGGAGAAGTTTACACTAAATACGGAGTCACGCATATTGGATTCACAGATTTACCATCAAGGTTCGAGAAAGTTCGAAGAAGTTGTTGGAATTCTTATTTTCAGACTTCCGACTCAAAGCAGTGAGCTGTATTCAAACAACATCGCAAAGTTTTTGTTACATCTTGGAAAAGACAAAACATTCTTTGTGAATCAGGAGGATGAGGTATATTGAGTAGTATACAGTATACAATGTTTTAATAGAACGGGAAGTGTTTATAAGAGTATTTCATAGTAAACAGTAAGAACTTACTAATGCTACATTCTAGGTTGCTCGCGGAGCACTAGTTGTGCATGAAGGTCGACTGAAATGGCCACCACCACCTATCAATTTCCCACCACCAGCAGCTCCAAAATCCGAAAAAACAGCTGAAACTACTGCAGATCCACTAACTCCATTCAAAAACACTGTAAATCAAACTTTGATGCTGACTTCAGGTGAATAGAGCCTTATTGATTTTCATACACTTTGAATTCAGGTCTGGGTTCCGTATCCCTGCTCGGCATTGCTGGAACCAACCCAAATATCGCAAGCATGTCGACAACGTTTGCATTATCTGGACTTGTCGGTAAACCATTGTCTTCCGAAGATCCTGTCATCAATTTTGAACTTACAGGCTATCACACTGTATGGGGAGTAACTCCAGCGCTTCACTCCCCACTAATGAGTGTAACAAATGCAATATCTGGAACTACTGCGGCTGGAGCGTTATGCTTGATGGGTGGTGGTCTGATGCCACAGAACAGCGCGCAAACTATGGCCCTATTGGCGACGTTTATTTCGTCTGTCAACATTGGAGGTGGATTTCTGGTGACAAAAAGGATGTTGGATATGTTTAAGCGAAAAGGTAATCTCCAACTTTTCCTATGAAATCGTTTAAGTTTCGTTTAGATGACCCACCAGAGCACAACTACCTTTATTCTATCCCTGCCGCTGTGTTCCTTGGTGGATATGGATATGGACTATACGCCGCTGCACCACTCATCACCTCCTACGCATATCTTGGCTCCTCGTTATGTTGTGTTGGTGCTCTAGCTGGATTATCTTCCCAGAAAACGGCCCGAGTAGGAAACGCTCTTGGTATTATTGGAGTCACTGGAGGAATTGGAGCAACATTAGGCCTTCTCCAACCAGATATTGATACGCTGTACCAAATGGGAGCTGCAATGGGATTAGGATCGTTGTTAGGAGTAGGAATTGCCAATCGTATCAAGGTTTTAGTCTGAAAAAAATCGAAACGCATTTCTAGGTTCATTTCAGGTCACCGATCTACCTCAACTGGTTGCTGCCTTCCATTCCTTTGTCGGACTAGCTGCAACTCTGACGTGTCTTGCCAATTACATTCAAGAGTATCCACATTTTCTGGAAGATCCAGCAAGTGCCGCAGCAGCCAAACTTGCATTGTTCCTTGGTGCATACATCGGAGGAGTAACGTTTACTGGAAGTTTGATGGCTTATGGAAAACTGCAAGGAATCCTTGCATCGGCTCCTACCTACCTCCCAGCTCGTCATCTTCTGAATGGAGCATTGCTGGCAGGAAATGTGGGGGCTCTGGGAACCTATATGTACTCAACAGATTTTGGCACTGGTATGGGCATGCTTGGCACAACAGTTGGACTTTCCAGTCTGATGGGTGTTACACTGACTATGGCTATTGGAGGTAGACCTCTTTTCATCTAGATTGTGAAAATTGAATAACTTTCAGGAGCCGATATGCCGATTGTCATTACTGTTTTGAACTCCTACAGTGGTTGGGCATTGTGTGCTGAAGGTTTCATGTTGGATAATAACTTGCTCACAGTATTAGGCGCCCTTATTGGTAGTTCCGGAGCTATTTTGTCGCATATTATGTGCAAGGCCATGAATCGATCTTTACTAAATGTCATTCTCGGGGGTGTTGGAACAAAATCGAAGGGTACTGGAGAAGCGAAAGCTATAGAAGGAACTGCCAAGGAGATTGCCTGCAATGAAGTAAGATGCTATAGAAAATACTCCCTCAAAATTATAAATTTTCAGACAGCAGATCTTCTTCTAAACGCTCGTTCAGTAATTATCATTCCTGGATATGGGTTGTGTGCAGCCCAGGCACAGTATCCTATCGCACAACTTGTGAAGGAACTTCAACAAAGAGGTGTCAAAGTCCGATTCGCTATCCATCCAGTCGCAGGTGACGAATTTCAATTTGTTGCAATTTCTTATGAACAGTTGGTTTGATATTGCAGGTCGAATGCCCGGCCAACTCAATGTCCTTCTTGCGGAAGCCGGCGTACCCTATGATATTGTTGAAGAGATGGAAGAGATAAATGATGATTTCAAAGAAACTGACGTAGCCCTTGTGATCGGTTCAAATGATACCATCAATTCCGCGGCAGAAGATGATCCGAATAGCTCGATCGCCGGAATGCCTGTATTGAGAGTGTGGAATTCTAAACAGGTTAGACATAAAATCAATTTTCAGAAGAAAAAAATTTTTTCTAGGTTATCATTGTCAAGAGAACCTTGGGAACCGGTTACGCTGCAGTTGATAACCCGGTATTCTTCAACGAAAACACACAAATGTTGCTGGGAGACGCGAAGAAGATGAGCGAGAAACTTCTCGAAGAGGTCAAAGCGAAACCAATATAGAAAAAAACTTGTGATTTGTATTATTCCGAAAAAAACTATTCATTCCAAAATGCAAGTCCTAAAACAGTAAATTCTGACATTTTGAGACCTGGTAATTTTGAGAGGTGAATATATATAAACTGTAAATAAACGTTTTGTGTGTAAGCGAATGTTGACAAAGACCAAAAAAATAGAGAGAAAAACAATAAAAAAATCTGGAATTTTCCTATTGAAGAAGGTAGATCGCAATGAGGGTGAGAACGGAGAAAAGAGAGGACATGGTTCCAATGGAGTTGCATGGAGTGCCGGCCTGGAAATTTAGTAAATTTGGCTTTTAAAATTAGATAGTGATTTAATACCTGTTCGTTTTGGCATTGGTAGTAATAAAGTTGAATTCCGTGGTTTCCAGTCTTCTTGAGTCCATCAACATTGTCTCCAGAGTAGGCACACTCTCTGACCACAGATTGAACTCCTTCAACGTTCTAAACAAATGTATTGATTTTTCAATAAACTTTTAGTTTTGCAGTATTACTTGAGTGATTTTACGGCATCCAATAGCAGCGGTTCCCTTCAATGACCCATCGCTAAGTGGATCGCAAGACTGTAAGTGATAGGATAAGTGTCTTTTTTGAAAAAATAAAAAGATACCTTCTTGAAACCCTCAAGAGCTCCCTCGTCGTTAACTGAGCAAGTTGGGTTTTCGTTGCTAGTGCATTGGAAGCACGAGAGGTTGGCACTGAAAAAAATGTTTCTACGGCGTTCTTGAAATTTAGAACTCACCTAACTCCCAAGGCGAGAGAAGCAAGAAGGACGAAGCAAGCGGCACGCATCTGAAATTTTGATTCATTTCTTAATTCAACAGAAGTATTCAAAATGAAAAACAGGAAAATGTAATTCATGTAAGAAGATTTTGTGTGGCTGTAGAGGAGGAAAATGAAAAGAAAAGAGGGCAACTGCAGAGTAAAATGGAAGATGCTCTGTTGCGAGAGAGGAGAGAGCAGCTAATGCATTCGTCGAAGGCAGTCTATGTGCTCCGAGACGCAGCGACACAACCAATGTCGCTTCACAGCTCAGACAAGATGCACACATAATAAAAGAAGCACGGATAGGTGCAGAGAGAAAAATGAGACGGCAGATGGTGGAAAAAGATTGGACAGAGAGAAAGAAAGCATTGAATATTGAAAATATGATAAAACATCTTTCGAACAGTCGGACGTGTCTGTTTTGAAAATATATAAATGTTCTTTCATAAGCTGATTTAAACATTTGACTATGTTATACTGGTATAAAACTCGGTCATGTGAATGAGAAACACCCGTTGCCGTGGCAGAAGATCCTACAACGACAACTACCGTAGCCTAAAATAATCTTAATTTCCAGATTATGTGTCTTGTTTTCCGTGTGTTTATAGTCATTTTTTCACCATAACTTTTTTTCCAATTTTTTGGGTTAATTAACAGAAAACTAGACGAAAATTAGTAAAAAAACGGGAAAATTAATACGGAAAGAAAGAATATGTTTGAATTACGGTAGTTCTCTGAGCCTTCGGCTACAGCTACCGGCGTTTTTCATCCACAACTCCATTTGTTTGTTTTATTGATGTATTTATGAAAAGTTTTTGTTCGCTCGCAACATAAGAATGTGAATTCTTGATTGGAGAAATGATAACAGTTCAATGTTCTGATATAATGTTATACGTCACACCATTTCACTTTCCGGTCAAGACATGAAGTCAATTGAAACTTATTGAGTATATTTATATATTTAATCTCAAATTTTAATGTTTAGAATGTATCAATTTGTTGAAAATTTCGAATAAAGCTAGTTTCTCATAGGCCGCGTATCTTTGGATAAAAAGTCACTATACTTGTAATTTGAGTCTGAATAGCACATATTCCGTCAAAGATATAAAAAACTGTAATTTAGAAAAGTCCTGATGGTTTAGAGATAAAATTTTTTTTTGAAAATTACAAAGCAATTGGTTGATTTCTAAAAGACAACTTTTTTTCGTTCGTTTTTGTACAGAAATGTGAAAAATTAGAAGAAATCAAAAATTAACTAATTTTAGCAGATTTCAAAACCGGTCACTGACATTTTTCGTAAATTCTACAAATTGGAAAACCAAAAAATTCCAATTTCAAACAATTCCTGCCTGTCGTCTTTTTTAAGAAGAAATGAAAGATCATAGATAACCACAAAACGCAATGGACGCTACGCTATGCATTACTTTTATAGTTCTTTTTCAAATGACCAGAAAAGAAGACAAAAATAGACGACCTTATGTAAAACGGAAGGCATTTTGTAGTCACCATTTATTCTGCTGAAGGAAATTGTGATCGGAAACTGGGAATAGGAAATACAGAAACTTTTTTGTTCATTGATTTATAAATTGGACGCAAATGTTAGTAATTTGAAAATAGAAGTTAAAGTTAACGAGGACGCGTCTGCCGAGAAAACTAAAGCCACGGTTCGTATTACTTTGTGTGGGGTGCTTAGCGAAAGAACAAACAAAAATGGTAGCCCTTCGATGCTCACTCTCTCTTGATCTCAGTGTCAGTCTGACGTCCTCCTCTTGCCTATGGTAGTATTTACTTACTTAATTTCGAAAAGTGAAATTCTTGCGCTGCAGAAATAAGCAGTGGATGCTACACAAAGCTTCAGAAAAACGCAATAATGTTTGATGGAGCTCCGAGCCCCGCGTTTCATTCATTTTGTTTCTTATCAAATTGAAATCAAATGAAAATAAGTGGCCTAGCGTCATCAAATTTGATATTCCATTTTTCCTGCGTTGACACTCTCGTTTCCTCTGTGTTTTGTATCATTATTGGAAACAGTTTTTATTGACAGGCTAGGGAGATAGGAAAGGAATGGGGAGGAAAAGAATTTTTTGCAGAAAAGAAACTACGAATTTTTAGGAAGGCGAATTTCTGAAAAAGAATTGTAAATGAGATACTGAATCGAGAATATTTTATAGTAGTAGGGAAGAATTGGAAAAGGCTATCTGAAAGATTTGGAATTTGAGAATGAGAACTAAATTCTCAATTTGAAATTTTTTGAAAACTCATAAATAACAGACAATTTGCGATAGTTGAAGTGAGAAGGAGGAAGGAAAAACTTCGAAACTAGATACGGAGAAACGAATTATAAAGAAAGTTTTTTTCACAGAAAGAAGAAGAAAAAATAATAAGCAGGGGAAAATGATTTGATGGTTTGACGTTAATATCCGTTATTAACTGGCACCGGCGTGTGGGATGATTTCTCTGATGATTGTGCTGAGCTGCTGGCTGTGGATTTGGCGATTTCCTCTTCGAAATCACCGAGCATAGCCTGAAGTCATGTTTTGTTTTGTGAGAATGTTTTGAAAATTTGAAAAAATGAACAGGTAAAGCTGGAAAGCTAGAAATTATTCATTTCAATATACAGTACCGGACAATAAGATATAGAAAAATGTTTTTATGGTTGATTTTTGGTAAATTTGATCATATTCAGGAGTCTGTAGCTCGACTGTCAAGGTTCAGATCTTTTTGAGAACTTTTAGAGGGTGTGAAACAGACGAAAATCAAAAATTTTGCATTCACAGAAATTTTGAAAATTTTTAGTTTTTCAGCTATAGCCGATTTCTGAAAGATGACTGTTTTTTTCCACATGTTCACTACAAAAATGGGCAAAAAGATGTTTATCAGAAATCGACAAATAGCTGAAAAACTAGGAATTTTCTAAAAATTTTGTGAATGCCAAGTTTTTAATCTAGCTCTGTTTTATACTAAATTTTTCAATATGATCGAAAACTATAAACAGTCGAGCTTCATACTTTTAAAAACGGTCAGCTTGTCAGAAAATCAAATGAAAAGTACCTTATTTATACCTTATTGGACGAAACTGTAGCTCCTAATTATCCATTTTTCATACACGACCCGTAAGTTCAAAATGATAAGCAAAAAAGCTAAAATTTATTATCAAAGGTAATAACTGTAGTTTTAATGGTTGGGGACTCTTTCAACGTTTTTGATTCCCGTTCTGTTCTAAAAATGACACTATAGACTTCTATGCTGACATATAAGATTCATATCAATGATTGCTTTCATAGAATTTATTCTACCCATAAATTTATACGGCTCTATAAGTTTTGCTTCTTCATTCTGAACCCACCTTCAGGCCCATAATCTCTCCTTTCACCACCAAAAGTTGTGGCAAGTTTCGGAAGTCCTCGAGCACTTCATAGTTGCGGCAGAGGTGAACGATCACCTAAAAACGAGAAGGTTTTCATGCATGGACAAATGCATTTGTTGTATACCTTCTTCAAGTTTGGATGATTGGCAAGTTCGACGACGGTTCCCCGGTTGATTTTCTCCAAGTCCAACTCGCGACAGTAGATGAACTGAAAAAGAAAACTAAAGATATTGCAGAGATCTCTTTTTGTTCTCAGAACCTGCAATTTCGGCATTTTGTTAGCCATGTAGGAGAAGAGAGAATCCGGGAGAAATGGGTAATCCACTGGCTTGTCGACCAGACAAACACGCTCCACACGTTGTTCGAACTTTTCGAGGATGGCCATCAGTGGTCCCTGAAGAATTTTGTTTTTCGAACTTCGAACATTTGGAATTGTCTTTTTTATTCACTTCGAAGTTGTTTTTCGAATCCTAATCAACTTTTCGTCCAAGTTTTCTTCCAATTCAAGTAATTTCCTTTTCTTTTTCTTCTTTTTTTCGTTTCACAATTCATTTCCCGTTCGGTATCTGTCCAACGGCCGAAAAAATAATCTTATTTCGTCTTCTTTTGCAACATACACTCTTTTTTTCAAAAACTGAAAGTTGTTGTTTATTTCCACGCTCTCTTTCTCTTTCTGCCCTAAGCTAAACTTTGAGCAAATGTTGCACAATTTTCCATTTTTTCGGTTAGAAGACGTAACTGAATACGATTTTTTTAGGAAGAGGGGGAAAGATGAATTACAATTCTCACATGAAAAACTATCAAAATGTATAGATATGACTGGCAAAAACGCCATTCCTCCCTATATCATATTTCAGGTCTTTTTCTTCTCCATCGTTCCCACCACGTCTCAGTTTTCAGATCAAAAACGTATCGTTGGTGCAGGAAAGAGAGCAAAAGAACAAAGATTGGATGTTGTTGTATAAAAACTTTGACTTCATTTTTTGAGAGTGATTTCTAAAGAAGAACACTTTGACTTTGTTATCTCAAGTTGTCTTGAACAACATCAATTGTTTTTCTGTGCTCAAACAAAACCTCTTTTCTGACGTGAGCACTTTCGAAAATTGCTCTCCATGTAGGCCCGCTATGAATTTTGAATGGAGATGAAGACTTCATCTTCAAGATGTCTATGTGAACTATGTCATGTTTTTCTCTCCAAAGGACACCAATAGTTCCTCATTGAGTATTCGTGAGTTCTGGAGGTGCTCAACTGGAATAAATCGGAGTGGGAAACAGAGTGCTGGTTGTGGTTCGAACTATAGTCGAAACTTTTCGATGCACATATTTGTATCCCAGATTACTCCTTTGGCTTTTAGTCGTTCTTCACTTCCTACACAATATTCAAGGGGAATACAAAGGTTTGATGGGTGACAAACAGGAGAGTTTTGTTTCAGGAGCATCCGCAAAAAACCGACCAACAAAAACAGACATACACAAATCTCTAGAGTGGAACGATCTGTCATTTCTAAACTTTTGGGAACTGCAAAAATCCTGACAGCTATCATTACTTTTTTGGCTCATTTTTTTCTTTTTGTTTGGTGGTGCTTCTAGTTTTTTCTGGCTGTTTATAATATCAATGGCGACAAAGACGGGCCATCAATCTTCGCTAGTCCCATGGGTGGGATTTTTCGAAAAAGAAACAAAGCATCTGATAACATTACCGTATACCCAAACCAGAAACCAAAGATGAAAGTGTTCTTCACGTACCTCATGCTCATCAAAGTGACACGAACAGCAGTAGATGTAGGCGACTTGACGTTTCCAGAAGATTGGTCCATCAAAACTGATGTTCACTGTCATCTTTTCGTGGCCTAAAAATATAATTGCTTGAGAAAACAATTTTCCTAGCCTTACCTGAGCAATGGTTTTTCCTGAAGATGATGTACACCCAAACAGGTTTGGTTTCGTTCCTGGCGGCTTCCATGATCGCCTCTCTCCAAGCACGAGAAACTCGTTCAGCTCTGGAAAAATCACAGAAAATGTAGGAAAAAGCAAAAATATTCGGGAAAAGAAGGCATAAAATTCTGAGCAACCGGAAAGAAGCAATAAATTCGGGAGCTAGGGAGGGATATCTTGAAGCTTCCGCCAATTTGCTAAATGCTTCTTTTTATGGGCCATAACCGAATGGCAGTGTTGACAACAGCGGGAAAGAGGTCCTGTTTTTTTTTCTAAGAAACGAGACAAAATTACAACCAGACTCCACTCCAGAAATACGAATTGAGATAACGATGTATATAGCCAAAAAATACGAGACTAATGAATCGGTGGTCGTGTTTCTATCTATGTTAGGCGGAGACTCTGATGCTTTGTTTTGTTTCTGAGAGGTTCCAGATTTCTGGTGGTCCTACTGAGATTTCTTAGATTTCTTAGAAAATAGTAGGGGAGCATCTGGTTTCAGGGATACATTTAATTATGTTTTTTTTGTTTTTTTTACTTATAGAATTAATTCAATTAGGATCACTCGAGATTTTTCTGGATCCATCTCAAAATGAATAACATCTCAGAATCTACTCCTTCGGAAAAAAAAATAATTTAGAAATCCTTGGGGACATTAAAAGAAATCACACCATGTCTAGAGCATCCACGCTTTGGAAATGTTTTGAATGTGGGCGGAGTCAAGAAGTTATTCAATTTCTTTTGGAGAAGTGGGGAGGGGCAAAGGATATTTTTTTTTGGAAAAAAGAATAAGAGAAATCTTGTGGGGTGGTATTGGCAATTAAAAATTTAATATGAATTGAAAACTTTTCTATTGAAATTGGAAACCTAAAAATTGAAAAACAAGAAAGACTTTCAACTGGTTATTCGTGTTACTTCTGAAGTTTTCTCAGAATTTTTTTTCCTAAATTCAGACCGGAAATGGTGGGAGGTGAACTTTGAGAATTGAGACCCAAATAAATCGGAAACAGGAGATGAGAGACAAAAATGGGTCCTTCGACAAAAAAGCAGGCAACATGAAACTTTTTATATGATCACTATAGCGGGACGAACAAAGAGCGGACGACGGACCCCCGAAGGACGAGTGTCTCCAGAGAGGAAGAGAGCATGGACTGCTTCTTTTCTTCTTTCTTCAACTTTCTTCAACCCCATCGTTGCGCAGCACTGACGCACACTACTAGACAGAAAACTCTATTTTTTGGCGCCAACGGATGGCGTAGCAGCCGCCATCTGCCGCTTCCTTTGCTTTTCTACTGTTACCAGAAATCCGCAAGAGGCGGGACCCTCTTATTTTTGGAAGCTGCTGGTGATGGCAGTCGGTCGGGGTGCAAGTATGTATGTTTGTATGGGGGACCTCCAGAAGTCTCTTCTCGTTTTTGTGTGTATGTTGTCGGTGTGTTTGTTGTCTATGGCCTCTTCAGTCCCGCCTTCCCCAACTGTCCCACCCTTTTCGATGTCACTTTCGTGTTTTGTTTCATTTTGCTATTTCTTTATACCACATGGGAATTGGGGGGAATATCGCGGTAAGACAGATTCTCATCCGGGAAGCAAGAAGATATTCAGTGAGTGGGTGGTAGTGCAGACTCGTTCAGATTTTGAAATGCGTCAGAGGAAGGAAACTAAAGTTTGGACGAAAAAAAATGAAGATGGATGGATAAGGAGCAGAGATAGAACATTTTGCAAAAAACGAAAAGCTTTCTAGATATGAATTTCGCAAAAACAGGAAAAAAGAGTTCTGAAGAATTTTTCTCGAAAAAAAACTTGAACAGAGGAATGCTTAGAAACTAAAAAAATTCGGCTCTAGTTGGTTATTTTGGATTTTAAAGAAATTATTGGATTTTGAAAAAAGTTTTGGATTTTAGAAAAGGCCAGAAAATTTTGGATTTTAAAGAAACTTTTGGATTTTAATCAGGAAAATTTTGGATTTTTACTTCTTGAGATGACCTAAAACCTGTATTAAAAGGGTTGGTAATTACCGTATTTTCTTTGATTGAAGCTCACCCGAACCGTCAACTTCGAGCTCAGTTATCTTGATTCCTAAGTTTTCAACATTTTGTCATCTGATAAATTATTAATCAAAACAGTTAGCAAATTTTTTTATATTTCTCATATAAACCGAGATCGTCAAGCTTAACATTGACGATTCAGATAGGCTTTTAGTAGAGAAAATAGGGTGGTCTAGAATTAAAATCAAACTAGACAATCTTTATCAAATTTATTATTAATCAACCCAAATTAAAATGTCAATAAACATTATTAGTGTTTAATTGAATCTGAATTTAAAAGTACCATTAAATACTTACCTTGAATACATTTTGAAAGATTTTTGAAAAAGATGGCAAAAATTAGACAAAGGACAAAAGAATAGTAGTAAAATCTAACACATTTCTTCAACTTGACTTTTTTAAATACCAATTTCACTTTTTTGATAGGTAAATCGAGTTGTGGACCTATACGAATATGACCTAAGGTTTGAAGCCGTAATTCAAAAATTAATGAAAAGTAAGTCGATTGAAACTACATTAGGATGAATCCACATCATTTCTGAAAATAGAACAAATTGGTCGTCCTCTGGTGTTTTGATGCACAACAAAAACAGACAAAAACAGAAATGTGTTGTTTTTTTTTGTTGTTACAATTCGAACTCGAACGTCGAACGAGAATAGACAGAAGGTCCCAAACAAAATATACGCATTCTTCGCGGGTTCAAGATTTGTATGTTTAAATAGTAATGATTTTCTGGAAGAAGAAGAAGAAAAATAGACAACAAATAATTTCAGTTAATGAAAAGTAGGATACATTTAAACATTTTGTGATAAGAGTGACGATATTTGTTGTCGGAATTATACAACTGTAAAATCGGTGTATGCAGACTCAGTACAAGAATCAAGAGTTTTTGCACAGATTCTGCATACACCGAGGTGACAATTTTATAATTCCAACAATAATAGTGTAGAAACTGTGAAAAATTTCAATTCATTTTGAAAGATCAAGATTTCTATTTTGAGAATGAAATTTTGGTTTATAAGAAATCGAAAACGTACTACACAAAAAGTAGAACAATTAGGGTCCAAATCCTCAAAAACCCTCAATCGGAAACGATTTTCAAAATTGCTCGGCTTTAGTGGTCAGAAAAACAAGGCCGAGAACCAAACGGTCAAATGCTTCGAGGGATTCACTGAAACAGAATTATCCTAGAATGGAAGGGGAAAAAAGATGAAAGATTGGGGTTGTTTGTCAGCTTTTCTGCTGGACACTGCCCACGCCACTGTGTGGTCAATTGCACCACTGATGAAAAGATAGAAGGATGGTAGAAGAAAAAGCCAACTGAGAAATTCAGGATGAACACGAAACGAAAACGAAAGACGGGAAGACAAGAGATAAGTTTCGAAGCTAACGGAAAAACGAGGAAAACGCAACGGAGAAGAAAAAGAAGAGCATCGAGTCTGAGGTCCAGGGCAAAACTATGATGATACTTTCTCTGTGGTCTCTCGATTTTTGAAGCTATTTTTCGTGGACTAGGATCCGATTGATGAGGGAGTCACATTTAATTTTATGCAATTGTGTATAGTGAGATGTTTGAGAAAGTCATGCTTGAGAAATCAAGATTTGGTTCAAATTTGAAGATTAAAAAATTGTTACTATTTCTTAATAAGAAATAAAAAACTAAAAGATAAGTGATTCCTAATACTGCATCCGAGTTCGAATGCTGAACGCCTCCAATTTGTCAACGTTCACTCGATTTATCATAGTTTTTGAGGAAAATATCAATAATTGTTAATCATCAAGACATTTTGTCAACTCAATACTGTCTAATACTTTGTACAGGGACCGTGATTAACCCGTATAGAAGTATATAAAGTTAGTGGTTTTTATTTATATCACAGGTTCTATTAAATTACCAATGTTTTTTGGCAAAAACCTTTTTTTCGAAAATGTGAGCGTTGGTTTTTCTAAATATTGTACATTTTTGAAATCCCTGAAATTGTCCATTTGATTTTGCCGTTAATTTTGATTGTCTATGAATTCTTTGAAAAATTTCAATTTTTTGAGGAAAATGATGGATTTACAACAAACTGGATCACATTCCACATAAATGTTACGTGCTTGGAACCCAGAAAACAAAAGTACATAACCTTTCAAGTCCTTGAAAAAAAGTTTTTATAGAAACCCCATATCCTGTGATTTATACTTTTTTCTCCGATTCTGGACAGCTATACAAATCCTCGGAAAGGTTGTAAAGTAAAGTGTTTGAATGACGGATCTAAAAGCACTTTACCCTTCAATTTCGAACTACCGAACATAAAAATGTCGGTATATGTATAGATAGAGGTAAGAAGGGACCACAAACACAACATGACGGATGAAGTGGTACTACGACACCCATCCTCTTACTTTTCTCTCCTCTACCCCGGTCCCGGATGAGGCGAGAAACAATAAATAACTGGCGACAAAACGACGTACCGAGTTCTGTGTGGTAGTTGGAGGTACGAGAAGAGGATTGGAGCAACCTTCTGGCCCAGCACTGAGACCGGATCCACTCGCCGTTCGCCCATCTCGCGTTTTGTTTCCTGAAATTGAGAAAACGTGGTGAGAAAACGTAATTGGAGATGAGACAGATGAATGAGATGAAACGTAGTTGAGATTGTCAGAAACACTCAAAATGGCATGGAGAATTTTGAAATGAACATTCGGGAGTGGTATAAAAGCCAAGTCGACGCATTTTCAAAAAAAGTTATGCAAATTCAGTTCGACGGCGGGAGAAGGACCTGCAGCCGTTTTTGCTGGAATAAATTGAAGATATGCGCATGTGTTTGTGTGCGTGTACCCGCAAAAGATAGGCTCTGTTGATGTTATTCATATGTGTACATCTTTGGAGTGAAAATTATAATTGTGGCAGAACGTAAAGTGTATAAAACTTAATGGGTTCGTATGCGTTAAGGTTGAGAAAAAAATAATTGGGGAGGTGCATGAAAACAAGAAGGTTATGTGATAGAACCAAGAAGCACCCATGGAAAAATTTTACGTGATTACGGTAACTCCCAGATATTACACCAACGTAAAAATTTTATATACGTTCCGTTTGAAATGTTCAAAAAACATAGAATAGTTTTTTGGAACAATCTGAAAATCTCCTATTCTTTTTACAATAACAGAGCTTTGGTTTTGTAGTTGGCTACGTATTATAAAAGTTGCTTGAAATGAAAAGAACCGCTTGGATTTCTTGTTATTCTAAACTCACTATTTTGGCACTTGGTTAGTTTCAGGCGGTATATCTCCTTTACATGGTTTTTCTACTAAAATATTGTCAACTATAAAGTTGAAGATCTACTTTCTGTTTAATACAATTGGAAATAGTTATTCTGATTTTATAAAATCTATTATAACTTTTTCAAGCATAAACATTGGTTTTTTGAGACTTAAAAATAAGTATCTTTCTGAATGAACTACAGATTTCAGAAGAAACATTTTTGAGTTGATTTATCGAATAACTTGTCAGGAAATTCATGAAAGTAAAACATTTCTAAACTTCGAAATAATTTTTAAATTAAAAATCGCTCACTGATTTAACTTTTAGCATTTTTCAGAAAAACCATATTTGGGAATACCATGTAAAAATTTCACGGTAGTGTATTTTTTAGAGAGGTTGTTTAGAAGATTAAAGCACAAACATGAAACATTAAAATTACACTTCTCACACTTTTAGAACGTCTTTGCTCATAAGGGATGGATTTTTAACTATGAAATTCAATGCCATTTGGGTACTCACTTAGATTAGAAACCACACATACCAACAAAAAAAGGATGTATAATATGGAGAACAATGGGAGAGAAAAATGATGGAAAAATGAAGTTGGTCATGTAGAAAATTGGTTGTGGTAGTATTCAGAATTCAGAGTTTGGGTATTTGGAATCGAGCATTTCGGAATGGAATTCTATATTGAGAGAAAAAAAAGTGATCTTTGGAAGGCATACTTAGAACATAAAATACAATTTTCTTGTTTTCATTTCTTTTGGACCAATTTTCATTCCGAAAAATCATTGAGAGAAAATATAACTTTGTTGTTTTTTCGTTGTTTTTACATCAAAATGAATAAACCATGATTACACTTTTCATCCCAAAATCCAAGAAAGATGGGTTGCGTGTTCAAGTGAAACAAATCTGAAATAGACGAAATACGATTGAGGATTGCGTGACACTGAAACATTCCGAAAGAGCAGCTTAGAGAGCAACCTCTTTTTTGCTCCGTGAAATTAGGTTCCAAGAAAATGGAATGGGGGTTTTGAAGAAAAAGAAAAAATAGTGCTTCAAGATGAACATGTTTCGCTGTTTGAAATTGAAAATGAGAATTTTTCGCTTTTGCTCCTGGCGCTTCTTTGCTCGTTTACTGCTAGTTCCTGCTTCACGTAATTAACTTTTCTGGGATGAAAAAATAGGGAAAATGAATCTTTATCAAAAAACTCGTCATCAATACATACATTGAGAATATAGATTCAGATTTTCGTAGCAATCAGAGAAGTAAACGGCATAGAAACAGAAAAAGTTTCCAGACAATTGAAATAAGCACCAGATTTGAAAAGAAAATAATTGATGGGATCGGTGAGCAACGAAAATATTCCGAGGAGAATGGAAAAAAGATGTGTAGTGGCTGGGATGGAAATTTCAAGTGATAAATCACCGGCTTTGTGGTGACTGATTAGAATCAAGATGAGGATTTTTTTTTAATTTGCGGAACTCAAAAAACAAGTACATAAAAAACAAAAAATAGGAGAAGAAGTAGGCGTTGAAAGCCAAATCTTGCATATAAAACCCATACAATAGAACAGGATGAAAGAGGAAAAAAAATTAAAATAAGGAAAACAAATGGAGGACGGAGTACCAACAAAGAACCCATCTAATCACACAGAAAAGAGGGGAATTGACAGATGAATGTTGAAAATGGGCTGGTGTGCCGCTCCAAAATGAAATGGGGAGATGTGTTGCAAAAAAGCGATGGTTGTGTAGGAATGTTTGTGTTCCCTGGCTTGGTGTATTGAATCGTCGTTTTCAGAGGCTTAAAATGAAAACGACGATGTTGAATTGGATGTTGTTGCAGTGCTGTTGGTACGTGGTGATTGAAGTTCAACCTGAAAAAAAACTTTAGGATGAATTTTGAATATGAAAATCTGGTAAAAAACTACACTAAATACTCTGATAATATAAGACTATGTCATACTTTCACTTTAATCTCGATTATCTCAATTTTTATGAAAGATAACAAGAATTCGATAATTGATAAAATTGTTGTCATAGTATCACCAACATTTTTTCAGTTGACACATTTTAGATATCTATTACAGAAAATTAGATGATTGAGCTCAAACGGCAAGTACAGGGTGGCCTTTTATTAGAGTTTTCACATTTTTAAAACTCGACGAACCAATTCTACAGTATGAATCTTTGGGAATACTGAGTGTTTCAAATTTTTAAATTGTTTTTTCAATAGGAGCGTTACAGGGTTTTCTTATTTTCCAATTCTCCCGTATCTTGAATTTGAAAAAATTCGATAATTTTTTATAAAAAATGCAATCAGATTTTACTGTTCCTTGTCTCTTGATGATCTTGTGGTTTATTACTAAGATTATAGAGTAAAACCGGTATTTGTGGCTCATGTTCTTCCATTGTGTCCAAAGTAACGTGAGAGGCAATTTTTATTGGACAGGCTATTTCATTGAAGAAGTTTTTTTGGATTATTTTCTGATAAGTTTAATCAAAAATTAAGTATATTTCTATCTCAAAAATCTTAAAAATCAATTATTTTTTCAAAGTCCAGACAGTTTCGAGCAAAAAAACAGTTTGAAGGTCTTTTTTTCTGATTTCAAAATTCTCGGCTCACTTTTCACTCAAAATTTACATATTGTTCTAATCTAAATGCCTTCCGATACATATATTTGTATATTTTCTTTCCTGTTCTTCGTTTTTGTTAATTTCTTATTTTCTATTCTATCACACGATAAGCTTACAACACCTGAAACCTATTCAATCATCGAAATTTCTCACGAAAAATTCTTCTTCCCGTAAACTATCAAATTACCAAAAGGTCAGACCTCCTAGCAAAAGTGTGACAAAAAAGTTGTAAACCACGACCTAGATACTCTTCTTGTTGTCAGTCATCTTCTCACTCACCGTTACTCGATTTATTGGAGCATTTGGCGGGTATGATGGGCAAGTTGGCACTCCAGGAGGCAGTGGGTAGGCTGATGGCACTTCTGGCTCTTCGAATTCGTCATCTGGAAAAAATTGAGTGGGTCGATAAAGTTGGCTACCAGAAAATGTATTTACCTGAGAAATCATCATAGAAACTTTCACGATATGATCCAAAGACTTTGTTAGATTCATATGGCTGCCCAGCACTAGGTGCAACAACTTGAATCGTTGTTTTTGGTCTGAAACAATTTTGATCTTCAATTTTTACTGATAGCAAAAGTCTTACGGTGGTGGCGGTGGAGGAACCTTCGGCCTTTGGATGGTAGCAAATCGAGAGTCGTTAGATACAAGGATAGTGTTGCTTCCCGAGATCTGATGTTTTATTTCTATATAGGACAAACTTCTACAAAATGAGACTCACCGAAGAATGAGACATTTTTCTATTCTGGTACGGACTCGCTGCCAATATCTGAATTTGTCCATTCGTATATGGACTCGAATTTCCTCTGTCATGTTTCGATTTATACATCTTGAAGCAGTTTAGCATTGTTCCACTGTATTTTCGTAGTGTCAAAAAAGTGGCAATCAAGAAGAAGACGACAAACGAAACGAGAATGAGGACCTAAAATAGGAAAACGATTAGTTCCGAAATTTAAATTCAAATAAATCATGGAATTATTGGGGTTAAAAGAGAAAATGAATTCGAATATAAATGGGAAATAGAATCAAATCGAGGAACGAGGGGAAACGGGAACGACGACAGGTGGAATTCGAAAAAGTGTCGGTATCGTCGGCGGGGTGGACACGAAAAAAAAGATAACAGCTGTGTTACTAGTCATCGTAAACATTTTTCTGGTTGCCACTAGAGGAGGGGATGTATTTTCGCGCTACTTTCTCGCCACGGGGTTCCCGTCGGCACTCATTTGATGTTTCTCGTACAACATTTCAACTCATGTTGTGGCTGAATAGCCACTTGCCACCAGCCTGACAAATTTCACAAATTTCACGAATTTCCCAAGTTTCATTAAAATTCAAAGAGTCGAAACGCCACCACCGAAAAAAGCCACAATGGCGGACCAAGGGCAGTGGTAATGAAGAGATTCACTCGGACAGACGGGGGTGTGGATGAACAAAAACATGGGCAAGAGAAGAAGATGAATGTTTCACCACCCCCATCTGCTTAGATAGGGAGAATTGGATAGATCTCGTAAAAATGGAGATATTAATGTAATCTACTCCAAATTCGCCACTTAAGCGAGAGAATCATGTACAAAAACCACTAATAAAGTTAGTCATCATCAATTCAATTGCAATATGTCATCAAGATTTTTGTGAGACAAGATTTTGGATTGCAAATGCGCAGAATAAGTGAAAGTGGGAACCAAAAAACAATAAGAAAGTCCAAATAAGATGTTTGGAAACTTAAAATTGTTTTTTCGAGATGACCTTCGACTTAAGGGCTCCCAGTCAGGAATTTTGAAACGACGGGACAGACGAAACCGAAACAGTTGGCGCACTCTCTCATTACTTGCGTTGATCTATTACCTTGGTCCGCAGGCCGCACCGCGGATTTGTGAGTAATTTTCATAACTTGCCCCGACACGAAGAATAAGAAGATGAAAGAAAGAAATAAGAGATGGAGACGGAGAAAACAGGAAAATTGAGAGTCTGAGAGAAAGGATTGGAACGGAACATCTCAGATTGAATGGCAAGTAGTTGTTGTTGTTGCCAGTTCACCTTATAATGTTAGGTGTGTTGGGTGGAGATTAATTGAGATTCAGTGTCACGAAATTATATGTTATGGTATTCCAGGAGGTTCATCCATCTCGGGTTAAAACCATAATACCGTACTTGCAATAGTCGGGTTGAGATCAGAGTTAACAAATTTTGCAAAAACGCTGTCTAAAGCTAATTTTTTTGGATTTCTTCAAACTAAACTTATTAGACCTGTCGTATCGACATGAAGTTTTTATTATATCAATCGCCTCAAAAAGATATCAAAGAAAAAACATAGTCGAAACGAGTAATACAGTAATTTAGTGCCTGGAAATCTGGAAAAAATGACAGGTCAAGAATTTTAAAGACAAAAAACTTTCTTGATACATTTTTGGTAAATACAAAGTGCGAGTAACGGAGAGTGGGTGGAAAATAGTGTGAACTTACTTACTGAACATTACTGAGATTTTAGGATCTAATTAAGTGAACGACCCGAGCCGAACTAATTTCGAAGGTATTCCTTAAAACAATATAAGAAAAATCCTCTAAGATCGCCTTTTGTTTTGTCGAAATGTCAGGATTTGAACCTAGCTATCATAGTATCCTTCTTCCGAAACGACCAATCAACTGACGCCAATAACATTTCAAATCACTTAACAACCTGACAAATGACACGAACTTCGTGAAAGAGAAACTTCGAATGACATGTCGTCACTATAAGGAAGAGTATTTAAAAAACAGGGAGTTTAAACGTTTTACGAATAATACTTCCTATGAGTTCAATTCCTAAGCAATATGAAAGATGCATCTAGAAGATGCAATTTTTTCTTATAAATGCAAAAAATATTTTGTGCGATTTGAATGAAAGTTGACATTTTTAAATACTACGTTCTAATAAAGCTACTGTTAATTTAACGCAAACTATCACTTTTTAATTCGATGTTGAGGTTCAATTTTGAACAACCGTAAAATCTTTAAAAACAGGGTGCCCTCATCTTTTACTTTGAGTCAATTTTTCTCGCTTCCTGTCAAAGATTCGGAAGTTGTCAACATTTAAAATTTTAATCTTAATTTAAGAAACATTTTGTTAGTTGAGCACTTTTTATTATTTTGCATATGAATTGAGATAATTGAGCTTACACTTAACAGTAAGATGACCTTTCTAATACTGCTTTTATTGTAGAACTGAATTCAACTCCTTGACACTTTTCAAAATTTAGAACGATCATAATCTAAAAATGAAACATACCAGGAAAAATGGATGCATGAAGAATCGGCAAGTGTGCGGTTGACAATTGAGGTCGTTGCACCGCCCCGGCAACCCACAATCACAGTCTTCGCCTTCTTCGAGAACTCCGTTTCCACAGACCGGCTCACTCCTACAATATCAATTGTTTGCGCGGTGTCATGTTTGGAGACATTGTGTGTTATACGACCCACGCACATTCACGCATTGCTCTTTCTCGTTGATTACCACAACCACCGTCTTAGGTTGTGCCCGATAAATGGCAAGTGTGTACTTTTCACTTTTGGCAAACCTAATCTGGTCATTGAAGTGAGAAAGAAAGTGAACGCGAGGAAGGTGTAAAAGAACGAACAAAAAAACTTACTCTTTGAAAATGGGCTCTTTTTGAATGCACTTGTTCTTGTAGATGGTGTTCACGAATTGTTGAACAGTGCAGTCATGATCGAAACCACTGAAAATGGATAATCGTCAAGAAAAGCTTCTTTTTCTAGGTTTGACATTTTGATCACTATAGTTGCTTCGAATAGTTTTCCTAGTTTTTAGTTTTCTCCTTCATCATCACTTCAACCCTTTGAAATTCGAACTTTGTTGAATTAACACAAATGCTTTTGAAGAAGACCCCCTCCCTTATATGTGCACTTCAAGCTCAATTATCTCGGTTCCGATAAGAGATATCAAAAATCTGTCAACTGATAAAATATTGATGATATTATGATAAATAGTTTATTTGTTGAAATTTGTTGATAATTTTCGAAGAAACTGAGAAAATTTTGTTCGAAGTACACGTATGAGCTTATATCAGGGAACATTAGGTCCCTCATTTTCTCCCTTCACTTACGGTATTTTCAAACACCCATCCTCTTTTTTCGAATCTATCGGTGTACATTGACAATTCGGCACATAAATTGACTCGTTGACATCTCGATGTGGTACTCCAACCAGGTGAGCCACCTCATGGAAAAATATCGATCCCATCGCTCTCGGCTCATTTGGATAGAACTGAAATTTCGCAAAATTCTTCCCAATTTCTTCTTTTTCTCATTTCCTAACCAATGGCTTCTCGCCAATTCCCATGCCCATTCTTATATTACGAATCTAGACGATTAGGGGGACTATATCCCATTTTCCGCGCGGAAATGGGAGAAGAGGAGCACTTCTCAGCATTGCTAATTTGTGAGAAAGCGCGCCAAATTACGCGTGCCCTTCATTCATCACGTCTTCTTCTTTTGTGAGCATGTTTAAGGATGAACCATATTATCGGCATGAAAAAGAGCAGAACACACACAGTTGAGTGTACCAACAGAGCAATAAAAATATCTTTACGACTAGCCGACTAATCTAAAATATAATAAACTGTGCGCGGCCGTTCAAAAACGGGAGAAGAGAAACAATAAAAAATAGTCTCCAACAACTTGCTATTTAGATGACCTTTGTATGTCAAAGATAATGGGGGAAAAAGGACACAAAATCCGAAAACTCACTCCAGAAAGAGACACTGAGTGTGATGAACACATTCCATTCACATAGGCTAATCCACCAGCGTACTTGTATGATATGAGAGTGGCGAATTCGTGTTCCGGAAGTTTGTGGATTCTGGAAACAATGTGTTTTTTTTCGAGAGAAAATACGTATGATTTACCGTGCGTCTCGGTATTCATGGAAGGATTGTAGACTAAGATCTCCACGATTTGTTTGCAGAATACCGACGACAATCAAACCTACTCCAAGTTGGTTCAAGTACTGAAACAATTGTATATATTTCAAGTTGCGCAAAAATTCAAATTACCTGATTGGCTTCGTCTACCATTTTCATGATGTTCAATTTCACACGAATCATATCGAATTCATAATATGAGGTAGTTTTGTTATCTACAAAAATCAAGCTTCGAATGAAAACCGTTGTACCAGAATCCGTGGAAGCCAGACTGTAATCCGGTGCCTTCGCTCCCCATACAGCCGCTCCATATTCGATGTGTTTCTGCTCCACTGATAGTGCTACCTGAAAAATACACTATAAAAGTGCTAATTCCCTTTTTTCATAACTCACCCCAAACAAGAAAAAAGAAAGGCTAGAAACCAGAATAATTGATAATTCGCGCATAATTCTACCACCAGTGTTGTCGTCCAAACACCCTCAGGACTTGTACTTCTCACTTCATGCTAATAATCTGAAAAACAACGACGATTGAGGAAAAAGGAGCATGAAATAAAGACAATTATAAAATCGGGAGACTGATAAGAGAAGGAGAAATGAAAAATAAATTGGCAAGAGGAAAATGGCAATACCACGTAATTAAGCCGGCGGTAGGGCGGAATCGAAGTAGTTTTTGGAAAGTCGGAAGGAAGAGGAGGAGAGGATGAAAAAGTAAAAGCTTCAATTCTGGATCAATTAAACTTGTGTACATTTGTATCGTTGAGAAGGTGTGAAGAGAAAAAGTTGGATGGCTTTTTCTTCAACCACATTGTCTCCTATGAATCTGTATAGGAATGATGTTGATGGTGATAAAAGCAAATAGTGTAGGACAAAATTAATGGAACATGAAGAAAAAAGTGTCCAATGGAGAGATTTTTTGAAAAATAGTGAAAACACACTACCTACGACCTATGGAAAGGAGAAGAAAAAGAAAACGGATCGAGATGTCGGATCAACCATTAATCCTCAAAAAATTGGAAAGAGAACGTCGTCCAAGTTTTCTTTCTCCTAGACGAATAACACATAATGTCAAGGTGACACTGATGTAAACGACTCGCAACCCGTTTCTCGGTCAAAAGGGCAACATATGGTTGGCCTGGGATCTGGGAGTGAGAAGCAACTGATGCCCCAAACATTTTGACCACAACTAGCTGCACGGATTTATGGATGAATAATATGCGAAAGTGCGCGTAATTACCACATGTAGGTGTTCGCCGCAGAAGGAGAGAACAGAGAAGGGGGTTGAGAGGGGCCAATATATACATAGTACCAGATTGTTTATCGCAATAGTGTTGGAAGAAGAAGAAACACACAGAGAAATAAGTGGACACCGGGTGGAAGTGCGTTTGGAAGAAGAACTGACCAGACGGCTGTCCCTCCACCGGGTGAACCAGAACGAATTGACCCCTTCCCGGGGACTGCTCAAGTCCTCTCTTCCGAAATTGCAACAGATACAACACGTACCTTGGGACCGGAGGGCGCGGACATCCGTGGTAGGCGTGGACAAAAAGTGCAGGAGCATTTGTCTTGATGAATAGTTGCCGCTGCCGCCAGGGGAGGAGAGGGTGTTGGGTGAAAAAAAGTGCGAAGGATGAAGAATTCATTTGGTGTCGTGGATAGACGTGTTAACTCATCCGATATAAGACGGCTAGAAGTACAAAAGTCAGAATTTCAAAAAAAGTAATTTTTATAATGGAGGTCGGGGAAAAAGTTTTGAAAAAATTTTAAATTGCGAGATAGATTTGATTTTGGCTCAAATAATTATTGATAAATGTTCACTCACATTCAAACAAAGCGAACGAATTTCAAGAACTCGATTTCGCAGTTTCTTAATCTTTTCGGAAAATCAAAAAACTCAAAATTTCAGAAAATTATTTCAAACCAAAAATTGTTGAAACATTTTTGGTACCCTTGATATTTTTAAACCAAATTAAAAAGAAAACTAATCAACAGATTTTATGAAAATGCCGTACACCTTTACAGAATCGCCCTCATTTCCACACCTCAGCCACTGTTTTTTTCTTCCATTATTGTCCCACTGAATCCATTTCTCCTCCGATGTCAAAATCGAATCGAAGAAACCACGATTTTTGGAGCGGCGCATCAGAATATTGGCAATTTCAACACGTCTTTCCTTGTTCGAATCGGAAAGCTCATGAGGGACCCAGTTTCCACATCTGTTTGTCTTTCCGATTGCATGCAAATGTCTGGAAATTGTGGAAAAATCGCAGTCGAACTGCTCCGAGAGACTGAGAGTAGTTTGGCAAGAATCCACTTCAATTGCTGCTCTCAAGGCATCGTTGTCCACCTGCTCTGGACGACCAGGGCGCGATTCATCTTCCAATCTTTCATCTCCGCTCCTGAAGCGCTGAAACCAGCGGCGACACTGACTTTCGGATATAGCTTCTTCACGGAATACAGGAGAAAGTGAGCGGTGAGCTTCGGCAGCCGATTTTCCTTCCTTTAATTGGTGCCACAAAAATGCTCGAAGGCGAAATTTTTGGTCGGACGTCTTCTAGAATGTTTTTTTCATAGAAATCAAATTGAAACAGCAATATAATATAACAAAATGAAGCCCAAGAACGCGCTTTTTAAAACAAAAAAAATTATAAACAGCTAAATTCTTACTGTAAGAAACCAAAAACATTTAAGAAGGCGTTGATACAAGAGAGAAAGCTAATTCCAACATCTCTCTTGTCCAGCCGAAAAACGCTCGTCAACAACTATGGAAGCCATTTTTAGTTGTCCTTCAGGAAACAATTTGGATATGCAAATCCAAGCAGCGATAAAAAAGAGTGAGCGTAACATGAAGAGATTTGCGGAAGAAAAAGAGCATTTTGAGTGTTTTCCAAAAATTGTTGCAAGTCTTTTTTTTTGCTCCGGACCCATGGGGTGGTCTAGGTGGTTTTTTGGGATGTCCTTTGTCCCAAAATTCTCTTGGGAGAGTATCAAAATATGCCATGAGAGAGAAATTTATAGAAGCGCTTTCTAAAAACGGAACTCTAATAGTACATATCCATTTTTGGAGCATTTTCAAAATTTTTGGGAATAGCGGTTGACGACTTCCGGACGGGCGTATCTTGTAGAGGGACGTATGAAAAACGATGCAGTCTTCCGGTCAATTTAAGGAGAGAGGACGAAAGGACGACATTTTGGGAGCAATGACAAATCTGTTGCGTCCGATTAGAGCGATGAGCCTAAACCTAAGGCTCAACAACTGCCATTTTCTGCCGTTCCACCAGACGGAGAGGATTTCGAGAGGGTAGTCCTTCTGTTGCTTGCAGCTGCCCTTCAAGAAAAGACTGACGAAATATGGCACCGCGAGTATTTCGGACCAGAATTGTGAAATTCTCCTCCAAACTGCCAGATGGGCAACGAAGATGAGTAGGGAAAGGCGGAAAAAGGGAACGGATGAAGAGGAAGAGAAGAGGTGAATCGCTTTCAAACACAATGAATAATTAATGATTGGTCATGAACATTGAGAAAAAGGTTTTAAGAGAAAAAGATTAGGCGTAAGTTTCATGAGAGGGGAGACGGTTCGAAAGATTTGATGGTGTTGAACATGTTGAAGGAAAATGTGGAGGAATAGAGGAGGGAAGGTTGAGATTATACGCGGTAATTATGCATTCGATTCGGTTTTAATTCGTTTTCATTGACCGCAACATAACAGGATCTTACCTTTGGAGATTTGGAAAATTGAATTACGTTGGTTTGGAAAACGTACGAAAATGAAAAAATCTAAGAATTTTGGCTCTACTATGATGTCTTGGACCGAAAGTTTTTCTAAGGATCAAAATTGTTTCTAAGAACCAAAAATCTTTCTATGGACCAACATTTTTCTGAAAACCAAGATACCAGATTTTTTGGTAACAAAAAACAACAACATGAGAAATAATTTCCTACTTTACAACTGCACTTTTTAAGACTACTCATGATTACAAAAAATGACTCTCTGGGCTACCTCTAAGTATGAATCACCTAAAGGTAGAGTGCACATGTAAATGGATTCAGACAGCCAAGGTCAACAGTCTGTCTGGAGGTGGTGTATACTCACTATATTGTCCTTGGCGCCAAAAAAGACGTCGATGCACACAAAGTTATTATTTATTTACAAGATTTGTTACTGGCAATGAAAAATTCTGAAGGAATAATGCGTATCCCATTTGTCTGAACAGAGTGACCCAAGAATGAAAATTATATCTTTTCTCAGAAAAAAATGTGCAAAAAAGATGAAGAAAAATGGAACCAAGCGATTTGTAAGAAAATGATATAATGGAAAATGCATTGAGACATCTTGGACCGGCCCCAGAAATAGATTTCTAGATGATTCAGGAATGTTTGTAGGGGAAAGAAAAAAACAGAGAAACCAGCCGAAAAAAACCAGATACAGTGCATATACCGGATAATCGAACGAGTAACTAAAGGGATAACGGCTAATAAAAAACGTGTGTATTCACACAAGTTCTCTCTGGTAGGAAGCGAGCGAGACACGGGGTGAACGCATGATGTGTTAACATATGTATTGCGCGCCGGCATTTTGCTGTGCTGATGAATAACGTAGGGTGAGAGGTACGGAAGAAAGGAGTAAGGGTAGGAGGTGAAGAGAGAAAGTAATATTAGATTTTCTTTCTGAATCTCACATGAAAAAACCGTTGCGATAATATTCTAAACCGTTGTGATAATATCTACAATCACCTAGTTCGCGAGTCAATTCCAGAAGTTTTACGTGTAATTCAATTTTCAAAATATTATTGAAAATCAGAGCAATGTGACCGGTTCTCAAAAACCGGTCGTAAAAATTAAAAAAAAAAGTTCTAATACCACAAATAAATGAAGTTGATTCTCTTCGTCAATTTATCCGCACTATTTTCAAATTGCTTAAAAATTGAACATAAATTTACCTGGGGCTTTGAGACAGGAAAATCAAAAAGTGGAGCGAAATGACAAAACGCGCAAAAGGCGCGCTAGCTTGGTAAGCTAGGAAAAAGCCGTCTAGCTGAATATGCAGTGAGCTTCATATCAGCTCTAGAACCAACCAAATCGATGTTCTATAGCTGGGCCAACGCAAGCAGTGATGGGAACTATATAATAGACAAACATAAAAGTCAATGGGAACCTGAGCATTATTTCTGTAAATTTAGTTTTTTTTACTAGAGAATGAGATGAATATTAAAAATATCTGAAATTGCAGATTGCTATACAATACAACATATTTTGATTTCTCTCGAAGCTAAATTTCGTTGTTCATATTTTGAATTTCAAAAACACCTCTGCGCGCGGAAAGACCCCATGAAGGAAAACTGCGTAGAGAAATGAATGAGCGAGATGAAATGAATGAGAATGACAGTAAAAAAGAACGAGGCACCGCACCCAACGCGGTACGAAACGAGAGAGTATGATGGTCACCG